ACACACACACACGCACACAATCTGGCACACACTAACAAAGACAGATGAACAAGTGCGGACAGTTACACTTGAGGCTGGCAGCCTTCACCTGCGAGAGTCTACAGCTCATTGTAAATGGCATCACGAGTTACACAGCAGGGTGCAAAACACCCGATCTTAAAAGGTATTAAAAAAAGGAAAAACAACTACACGCATTGTGACCAGTGTTGGTCAAGTTACTTGAAAAAAGTAATCAGTAACTAATTACTGATTACTCCCCCAAAAAGTAATCCCGTTACTTTACTGATTACTTATTTTCAAAAGTAATTAATTACTTAGTTACTTAGTTACTTAGTTACTTTTTAAAAACACGATTTACAACCTGAAGAGGTGATAAAGTGATAGATCTTTCAGCCCAATTCTACTTTTTCTACATAATCCATCATACAAAATGTAATCAAATGGAAAAGTCTCTTTTTTTAACTTGTTTATCAGTTTTAATCTTTTAACTTTATGCATCAAGCAAAACATTTAATTATATGCAACATTCTCTGACTTGAATAAATTAATTTAACATTTAAACCTATTTTCTACACATTCCAGCACATAAAATAAAATATTTTTTGTGTTTTCACTCACTCTTTCAAACAGATGCAAGTAAAACACAGCAGAAAATAAATAAAGTCAAAGACTCAGCGGTCCTTTTGCTCTATTTTCACCTGTAAAGCAGGAGCAGGGTAGGCGGAGGGTTACCCTGGTGCAGGTGTGCTGCGGTCAGTTGAAGAATCCGCGCGAGTGTCTCTGTGAGTTTCCCATCACGTCGTAGCTACTCGGTGCTTGCTCGGAAGTTTAGGGGGTTTTTTCGCTGTAAAAAGAAGTTTTCTTCCCACGCACGATGGACGCTAATGTTTTGTCACTTTTTATGGAATCAAACTCAAAGTAAGGTCAGTACTTCCACACTTTAAACGCTGCACGCTCATACTCTCTCCCGCACTCGATATATTATCCATTGTTGATCTGCACACAGCTGCTGTCACCAACGTCGCACTTGCTTACGTCACTGTCATGAGACATTCTCGCAAAAAAATCACGGTTTTAGTAACGCAGTAACGCAGCGTTCCTACGGGAAAGTAACGGTAATCGAATTACTGATTTTGCAATAGTAATCCCTTACTTTACTCGTTACTTGAAAAAAGTAATCAGATTACAGTAACGCGTTACAAGTAACACGTTACTGCCCATCTCTCATTGTGACTCATGATCTTGCACTCCTTAGACATGAAACCCTATATCCACTTTCAGGCTAAAGATACAGCACTCTACTGTTTGAAGGCACAATGGAAATGATAAAAGTGGGATGAACATATAAGCTGTTCTTGTGAATGCAGGTGCACAGATGTGAGTAATTTTTTTTTAGAATGACATTGACTTTTTAATGTTGTAAATAATGCTAATTTATGACATCTTAATGTTTTTGCTATTTACTATAACTATAACAATATTATAACAATATTGTATGAGAAAAAAATAAGTCTAGCCCAAATTATGCCCTTTAAAAAAAAGTCACATATCCTCTGTATATCCACCATAATCATGCCTCTACTGAAAAAACAATTCAAGCTGAATGAAGGGACAGACTGTGTGTACACGTATACATGTATAGACTATTTGTTTGACGTTCCCTGTTTCAAGCAACATGGCAGAAGGGCTGGAAGTCCATGATCTGATGCTAAAGAGGAATTTGGTCCTGCTGTGGACTGCACATATACCAGTTTGGATGCTGTAGTCTGATTTGGTGTCTACAAGGCGGTAGCCATGCTGTGTCACATATATACAGCACTCTGTAGGATTCTGAGTGTCAGAGCTCAGGCTGTGTGTTAAGAAGCTGCCCTCGCTCTCCTGGAAGGTCAGCCTCTCTGCACTTGAAAAGCTTCTCATGTGCATCTATGCGTTCGACGGCCCTGCCTGCCTGGGTGACTGCTTGCAAGCTTGCCTGCCTGTGTGTCAGCCTCTAATGATGAGGATGATGGAGGGAATCAAAGAGGGGATGGCACTGACGTTGGGGCGAGCTCTCCATAGGACACCAGGTGATTGGGGAGGGAGCTTTGAAGCAACTTGTTGGATGGCTGTCCATTAATGTAAAATATCTTCTTTTCAAAGAGCTTTATTCAAGCTCAGAGTAGCGGAGCCCATAGGGGTCAAGGTGTCTGGCAGAATAATCTCTCTCTCACTTTAGGCGGAAAAGAAGATAAAAGTAAGGATAGTGAATAGTGACCTGGGGCCTCATTTATAAAAATGTTCTATGTTTGAACTTAGTCTTAAGATCGTGTGTTCAGATGTCTAGATCGCGTGCTTACAATCGATTCATGAAAGATGCTGAGGACTAAATAAAGGTGCTTAGACAGGCTCTGAGAATGTCATTTTCTGTTTCAGATCACAAAACAACTTAAACTGACCGCACCTGCCTTGTAGCTTCCCATTTTATAATGTTTAGTGGATAACAAAAACAGAGAGATGCTATTTTGGAAGGCAAGGCAATTATGTGCAAATAAAGTCTGTCAAATCTGCAAACTAACTTTTCAGGACAAGAAAGCCTTCGGTGTGACAAACAATTCCTGTCACCTTTCACTAACATATCTTATTGTTATGTTCATAAAAGGCAGCACAGTGGCCTTCAGTGTGGAGTTCGCATGTTCTCCCAGTGTTCGAGTGGTTCTCTCCTTCCGTGTACTCTGGCTTCCTTCCACGGTCCAAAGAAATGCACTTAGTGGGTAAATTGGCCATAGTTGTGAATGTCAGTGCAAGTGGTTGTCTATTTCTTTGTGCTAGCCTGCATCAGGCTGGCCACCTCCAGCCCTCCCACGACTCTGACAATGACTTGCCGAAGAACCACAGGCCTGAGTGTCTCTACGTAAACAGCAGAATAATCACTTTTTCAAAATTAAAATTTTCTTGGTGCAAAATAACTCACTGTTATAGTGTTCTATGTTTTCCATCTTTAAGGATTCTTAAAGGATTCTTAAGATGAAAATTGATTGTAAGAGTTTTTTATATGAGACCCCAGCCCGTCTCCTTGACCACTTCTGCTGCCGTGGCCTTGGAAAAGAGAAGAAAAGACATCTGTCCTTTTCATGAGTGATTTCTGCTTACATAAGAAGAATTTTATACACGCGGGTCACCAGTATATCAGGTTGAGCCTTGAGAAAGATATTGGGAGCGTTCCCGTCTCTGATCTGAGGACGTTATAAGCACGCTTTTTGATCGTTTCTGGGTATCTATTTATTTAATTTGGTCAGGGATCAATGTGACTCCTGGCACATAAAACAGCCAGCAGTTCTCACAGATCAATTTTCTCTAGTCACCATGAACTACGCAGAGACAGACAGAATTTTATCCACCAAGTAGCAGGTTTATGAATAGTGAGTTATGGTTGCGTAAATTGTCTCCGTCCGTTTCAAGTTACTGCAATCGAGTTGCGGGTCTGTGTTGGCTTATGGGAGCGGCATTGAGAAAGGAGGAGAGAGCAAAATTTGAGTAAGAGTCAAAGATCACAGTGCCCTCATCATATGGTGTGACAATCCCTCTTGTCTCTTTCAGTGAGGCAAAAAGGAGACAAAGATGACACACAGCAGCTCAGCCTGTTCATGAACCCTATTAAATCCAAGGAAATCTTTGATATGTACTCTGATACCGCATTTTATTGATGCTGGGAGGGTGTTTACAATATCACATACAGTTCTGCATTCCAGGAGATCAGAGCTAGGACTGGTTTAGTCCTTGTGACCCTTGAGAGTACCCCCTAAACTCATACAACTGAACCAAGGTTGACTCTTGTCCGCTTGAGTTTTTACAAGCGTTTGTGATATATGGGCTCAATATGTTATGTCTGTCTATATGTTCTCTTTTATGCACACACTTATTTTAGTTGTCAGTCTGCTGATTATCACCCTGTTTAGATGCACTACTATATGCTCTGCGTGATCCAGGGAGTTACATCACATGGCATCGTGCCACATTTGCCAGCATTTTTCGGTGCAATATTTGAATTACTTGAAATTTATTTCACGAGTTATCGGAACATTTTTGTGGTTCACCCAGCAATTGGCATCAGGTTGAGTGTACATTTCTTAACATTTTGTTAGTGGTAGTCTTTGAATCAGGAGAAAAATCCCAGTATGAGAATTCCCAAACACACACACATTTATACACAAGCACTCAAAGGCTCCAGCTTCTGATCTGAGCTGACAACTCCTAAGCCACCGTTTCCTCATGCTGCTTAACTCAGACCACATTTCTCCCACTGAGCCTCTCTGCTCTCCCTAGTCTGGCTTCTCTCCCCATTCCATCCATCTTTCTCTCCGTTCCTGTGGCCAGCATCTGGTTTGAATATTGCAGTGCGTGCTACTGTGTTACCGATAGAAGTAGGGAGTGTAGGCTTCTCTTTGATTTTTCATCATCTCTCTTCCTGCTCAGATCCTACAATGCCTACGTTGAGAGAACAAAGCTGAGTGTGCAGCTTCTGTTCTGACAAACTGGATATAGATGCACTACAGAGGAAAAAAGAGTGCAGATCTATGTTATGTTATTTTGGTTTTGTATTTTCATGCACGTTTAATGTTTCATTTTGAGGTCATTCATTTCGTATTTGTGTGCTTTGTCGGCCGCTCATTTTGATCTCACAATTTGTGTTCATAATGCGAGGTTTATTTTCATGCTCATCTCAGTGTCCAAATTCACTTTTGTAGTTTCCTTGATGAAAACTGAACTTTTCCAATGATTTTGCAAATTTTAAGAACTTGCATTTTGTATATGTTGAATCAAAGTAGGTAGTTTTCAGCACCAGAGAGATTTTTGTCCTTTTTAAGCATTTTGTTTTAGTAGATAACTACTATAGCAATGATGAAATCTAACTGTACGTGCTTTCACCATGCAGAGTTTTTAATCTAACAATGTCACACACTTTCATTTTTTATTTTAAAACAACTATATGCTGCATATTCAAATCATGGTTTCTTTCACAGACAGAAGCCAGAGAAACTATTCCGAGGATGCTAGCGGAATTGGACCTGGGCCGTACAGAAAAGTGTGTGAGAGTGAACTCGGTGTCTAGTGGCTTGGCTGAGGCGGACCTGGAGGTAATTTTGAAGGCCAAGGTTCTCCCTCGTGCCATCATGTTGCCCAAAGTGGAGGACACACAGGAAGTGCAATGGGTGAGTGAAAAATCATCATCGTCATGTATAAATAACTGTTGTTTTTCAAAATCAAAATAGGCTCAAAGTCACAAGTTGAGTTTTTTTCTGAGCCTATAAAAAATGTATGAAAAAGTAAATAAATAAAAAAAACAACAGCAAAAAAACAGCTGCACTTAAAGTTCCCATTGCATTTCTTTCTTTGAACTCTGACAGTCTTTTAAAAAGCACTGGTGATCTTGCACAAACTCATGAAGTAAGAAGAAACCTCGAGAATCTTCAAAGCAGTCATAACAAGCTTTCCCGTTTCCAAGTAAAAGAGGGAATCGATCCCTGTCAGGGACAGACAGAGTGTTTTTCTTGGCTGCTGCTCAAGAAACAGATGACATTTCTTCGGTTTAACTTCAGAAGCCTGATAACTTTCTGTAAGAGCGCAATGGTGCCTTCTGCCTCTGGTGAACTCACGGAGGACTGCTGTGAACAGTGTCCTGTTGTGTCTAAGAACTGATTTAATCAAATGTAATACCCGATAGCCAAACCAGAATGCTTCAGATTCATTACTTTCTCTTATTCTTATACACCTTTAAATATAGCATGTTGCAAATGTTTACGCATGTGCAAACTTGCAAAAAAAGCCTAACCACGACTGCACTGCCTATCAAAAACTGAAGCCAGATATTAAAAAGGTTGATTCTCTGAAAAAGGTCGCTAAACTGAATTGATAAATCTAATATGAAGCAATAGTGTTAGATGTTTTCCTGGTATTGGCCCTACCTCTGCTTTCTATAGATTAAAGGTAGGGCCAATACCAGGAAAACAAACCAAGATGGCCAAGACCAGGAAAACAGATGTAGAGAAGTCAAGCCCAAAAAGTCAGCAGACATTGACATCATTAATGCAGACCTGTATGATCAGCTCCAGTCACATGCCAGGGTAAGCAAGATTTATTCCCAGTCTACTTACTGTTTGCATCGACATCATTTGCTGGCCTTCATTTTCATAAAAAAGGCACGATGCTCGAACTACGTCTAAATGATTTTCTTGCTGTCACTTTGCATTGAGTACCCCAAGCAAGCAATGCAAAGTGGGGGATATAGCTTTTAAAGTAACATTTTTTTGGTCTCTACTATATCAAGCTGCATGTATTCAGAACAGTTACAGTTGATTAAACAACTGCGACACGTTGTGAAGGTGTATGTCTAGTCTGCTTCTTTTTTTTTTTCTTTTTGCCTCTGTGTTATTACATACATGCACACACGCACACATTTATGCTCATACTTGGTCTGAGGGAAGGAGCAGGAAGTTTTTAACTAGTGGCTTTAATTATAACATGTCTATTTCCTGCTGCCCTTTCTTTCTTGCAAGTATAATTGCTGACAGGTGTTCACTAATTCTCTCCCCTAGCTCCTTTCTCCCTTGGCTGCTTTTATTCACTTAAGAAAGTCTTTTTTTTTTTTTACTTTAAAAAAAATCCACTTGTGTTGTTATGCTGTGACTCAGCCAACTTAGAAAGCTTTAAGTTGTGGATAACTGTCTGTTTATGTTATGTGGTGGGTTTTTTTTAATATTAATGCAAAAACTTAAGTTAGCCCTTTATATTGTTACTGTACCCCTTAAGAGAAAAAGCCTGTAGGTAGCTTGCTTGTTTTAAGCATTTGATTTATTTGCCAGTATGATTTTTGCATCAGTTGGTGCATATGTACCCTTAGACAAAGTGAACTTGGTGGCACTCGATGAGGACCTGAGTCTTATCTTTATCCCATCCCTCCCAACTTTTTCAGTCTCTAGCGCTTTGTACTTTTTTTGTGCGTCTGTGTGCGCATTCATGTTCCTTGTGTTGTAAACAAGTGTCTGATTTTCTCCACTCTTGTAAGGCAGTGCAGTAAATCCCCTCACTTGTTTATTTTCCTCCCTTTTTATTGATATTAGCTCAGGAACCTCCAGACTGATTTGTCGCTAAAAGATGGACTTGCTTGTTTCTCTTTGTGTGGAAATCTTTTCCTCTGTCTTTCTCCTCTCCTCCGGCCCTTGTGTGACTGACAGGCCTTATTGGGCTGTAACAGGCGTAACTCCCTCCTTTGTTTGAATACAATTCTCACAAAGATTTCGGAGCCGTGTGCATTCTTTGCCCACCACACTATTTGGTGTGCACTGGGACCAAAAGAATCGCACCCTGTCCCGCTCCTCCTCCTCTGCTCCTCCTCCTGTCCCCTCCCCTCATCCCTTTCTCCGCTTCCCCTCTGTGAAATGAACACTTCAGCTGGCCGGAAACATTTAATCTGGCCCCCTTTTGAAGAAAATTAATTGAAACTTGTCCCACTATAGCCTCCTTTCTCTAGCTCTATCTCCCCCTCCTTCTCTTTTCATGATTAGGTGGCGAAATTATCAGAGGCCTTGTTTGCAGCGTGGCTTTGAATGAAGAGAAGAGGTGTTATTTCTTCTTTTAACGTTACTTCTTTTTTCCCTTTTTGGGCGGAATAACATTTTAAACAGGACCTAGTTTTAAGAGCCATTGATAGCTAATGGTTGCTGCACCCATCTGAGTACCAGTGAACAAGGACTGTAGTACCTCTTGTATGCAGTGTAAATCAGACCCTTAAAGTGTATAATAGCTGAGGAGGAGAATACAGCAGAAGGACATAAACATGTAATCAGAAAGCCTCGGAGGCTTTTCAGCCGGCGGTACTGCGTGGAGCTGTCATTTGTTTCCCTTTGGTGGAAATCAAACAGTCCACTCAGCCTTGTTAGGGTTTGCATGGCGCAGCGTTTTGGTGGTAATCTCCGTGTGTAATATCAGATAGGTTTCCCCACAACAGGCCATATCTATCTAGTTTCCTCTGTCACAGAAATAGGTTTATCTACACCCTCTTTTCACACTCCCTCTCGGACCCCCGCACCCCTTCCTGTGTTTGTGAAGGAGGGGGGGGGGATATTATGCTAAGCCCCCAGCGTTAGTTTTTATGTTGCCATAGCAACCTTGCTCCCACAGGGTTGTGACCTCAGATGATTACAGTACAAAGCCTATTGGGTCTTGAAAACCTCTTTGAAGATGAAAAGACTTTGATGGTTTGTATTTATGCAAATCTCTCAGATATGATTTATCCAACTGAGATTGAATGGAGAGATGATTAAAATTGCCCCTATTTTTTGAAATCCTTCAATGGAGGCCCACTCTTTCAGTTTTGAGAACAAGAGTGGTGAGTGTGAGCGTGGGGGTTATTTTGCTCTTCGTTTAGAAAAATAGTAGCACCGTACCTGAGGTTATTTATAACCGTCCTTTCTTTTTTTTCCCCCCAGTGTGTCAAAGAGGAAGAAAACGGCATGGGGGGAGGGTGGGGGGGACATGGAGGTAGACATTTCTACTCTGAGCTTTTGCACTCTCTTCTTTTTTGTCTTTTTTTTTTGTCTGGCTTTGAAAGGAAATATCTGACGGAGGGGGCTTTTGTGTGTTTCCAGATGATAGATTTAGGAATTTGGGCTACCCCACTGGCAGTCCAGGGCTAGCTGTGAACTGGTCTGTTGGAAAAAATTGGAATGCTTTGGTCTTCAAAGAATTAAACTTGGTTTTAAAGGCCTACTTAGGTGAGCTTGCATATTAGCAGGAGTCGTGCAGGATAAAGGCCTCACCAAAATGTCACATCACACTCTGATTGTTGCTCCAGTCTCCCTGTTCCCTGCCACGGAGGAGGGACGCAAAACAGAATAATGTCACAGTAAAACACACTCAAAGACATCCTAAATCTTGTTTCTTCTCCCCTTTTCCGTGTTTTGTTTCTTCTTTGGTTTTGCTGTGTGTGAGTGTGTGTGCATGTGCTGGGGCGTGCGTGTGCACATTTACATGTGTGCACACAGTCTCGGGGGAGCACATTCTGTAGTTGTGCAGAGCCTCTGAAAGAAGGTAGAGCAGAAGACTTCAGACGAAGGGGGGAACCCTGGTGATAATGTAAAATATTTCATTTCACTTGCTTTTGTTGCCGCTCTCCTGTGCTTGCTCTCTGCGCTATTTGAACCCTCATAGATGTGCCTCTGAATAAGGACCGAAATGGGAACAGTGCAAGTAATAAAGGTGTCAAGATTTGTATCAAAAGTGAGTTTTTGCACATTAAGATTTTTTTTTCTCTCCACCTTCTCTGTCTTATCCCACAGTGACTTTTGAAAGATGTGTCAAATCATTTACAATTGTTACTGCTGAATATTTTTTTTCCTTCCAGTTTTTAAAATCACACACACAACCACACAATCGCTCTGTGCCTCAGATTTCTCTTTCTGTTGCGTTTTCTCATTCGCTTAACTAATAGTGCGCTGATAAGTCCACTGAGGGTTGCAGCAGAGTAGATGCACAAATTATCCAAGAAATTGTAACTGGGTTTAAGATGATTATACATATGGAAATTCAATATTCCTATGGTAAGTGTTAAGACATGTATCGAATGCTCCAAATAAGCACAAATATCCTGTGTATTATCTTGTACAGGGTAGCGAGAGCAAATGAGTTTATTGCATTCGCTTCACAGAAACAGTGGGTTTTGTTAATGAGTGCACGAGCATGAAATGGTCCCCGTGTGCTTAGTTTGTTGACAGGTTTCAGCACCACTTGAAAGGATGGGCACTGACAGAACCCATTCGCCTCATCACCTTTGTGGAAACCGCTGTGGGCCTGCTCAATTTTAAGGTAAATTACAAACAACATCTCCCCCCTCCACACACAAAAAAAAAAAGGAAAAAAAAACTGCATGCGTAAGACATTTTTCTGTTTGTCCATTGTTCACTTTAGATTAAAGACTGCATCAGTGAGCAGAGAACTCCACATGTCTAAAATAAAAGGGATTCAAAGCTTTCAGACTGTCCCCCTCAAAACGAGCCTTTTGAGGCTTTTTTTTTCTACCTCTCCGTCGCGTGTCCCTCTCTCTGACTGTCCTCTTCAGACATGCTGACATTTTTTAATTAGAACCATTTTAATATCGTCACAGTGCAAAAGTTCTTAATGATATTTCAGATAGCATCAAAGTGATTTTTTTTTTTTTTGGTAATAGTACATCACGACCTTCAGCTACACGAGAAAAGAGGGCACGGTTTGGGGCATTTGGGGAGAAACCAGCTGTCATTGCTTCTTCTGATTTGTCTTTTAGTTCTTCAGCCTAATTCTGGGGCTGTGTTTGGAAGTATATGTGTTTTGGTGGCAGGGGGTGGCTCTGTGTGCTGTCTTGAGAACACCCTGTAATTTTTTTTTTTTTTTTTTTTTGCCCAGACTGAACCCAGGGTTACAAGCATGAAAAAAAGACTCGCTGTGGCACAGCTAGTGGTGAAATTAATTTGGAGGCCAACAAAAGCAGGAAACATGTTCATATTGTTTCACAGCCTTCGCCACAGACAATCGCATTCAAAAGGGTTTCTTTCTTTTTTAAAGTTTTACTTTCCCCCGTAATAATTGGAGCCATTAGTCTTTGCTTTTGTTGTTGTTGTTTGATTTTTTTTTTCAAATCTTTTTTGAAGAGCAATGAAATATAATTTGAAAAACTTTTTGTTTTCCTTTAGTAAAATAAAGCAGCTCCACGATGTGTTAGTGATTCGTGTTTTCTTAACACAAACTACTGTTCTGTTATATGCAAAAATGTAAACATTTAATCATTTAAATAAATAAAAAACAGGAAACATTTAAGATTACCTTACAGGTTTTAAAAACTTTACTGCTTCAGTCTTAACAAATTAAACCTTGTGTAAAATAGCAGGGAGGCTTGATATGCAACTTTTCCTTAAGAGCCGCGAGCCAGGTGTCTGTTTACATACCTGCAGGTGGCACCTTTAGTGGGCTGGTATAATAATATGAGTCACTGAGGAAAGAAAGCTTGGAGTGTAATTGGGAGAGATAAATGATGTGTGTTATTATATTACCTTTATGTTAAAGATTTCAGAAAGAGTAATTAGGATAGTTTTGTGGTGACGAGTGTAAAATTAGGAGCATTTGTTACAGTTTAGCCTGTTTTCGGCTGTTTTACTTTAACCCATCTCAATCGGGCTGGTGTTTGTTCTTTCCAGGCGGTGTGTGAGGAAATTCGCTCGCTTGGTCCTAAGGTTGGTCTGCACCATGATGGCGTGGTGTTTGGCTCTGATGACTTCTGTGCAAGCATAGGTAGCTATTTCACATTCTGACACTGCTGACCCCAAATTCTCTTATTCTCCTCCTGGATTCATGGCAGAGAAGTTCAAATTGTGTAAAATGCACAAGCTTAGTTGCTAGTCTTTAAATATAATGCATGTCACATGTTCTCAATTTTGAACACACAATTGCAGAACTGCAGGAAAAGGGAAGACATTTTTTTCCAGTCGAAATAAGGGATGATTTACAGACGTGGGATACCTAAGTGATAAATGTAAATGTGCTGGAACTCAAAGATCTAATTCACTGAATCAGGTCACATGAGTAAAAAAGGACATTGTGTCTAGATGATTATTCTTTGGTTTTTGTTTCTTATCATTAAACCCAATGAGTAGGTTTGTTTTAAAGGACAGAGTTAATGGGTAATGAAGCACAGAGACCAGTGGTTAATAATCCCAATCGACTGTTTGGCAGCAAGAATCGGAAATGACAGAATAAACCTTGATTTATTTATTTTTTATTACATAAAAGGATGTGTCAGTGTACTTTATGTAATACCTGCTGCTCATCGCCCATCACAGTTTCATCTAACCTACACCTACTTACAGATCAACAGCGTCTCTTTGAGATCTTGTCTGGCAAACTGTGCATGTGTCCTTGGACTTTTTTCATCAGGTGCCACACGGACCAAGGATGCCAGAGAGCTCCTTTATGCAAGGCAGAGGGTGGTTGTGACTGCCAAAGCCTTTGGGCTACAGGCTATTGACCTGGTCTACATCGACTACAAAGATGTGGAGGGGCTGAGGCAGCAGGCCAGAGAAGGCGCTCTCATGGGCTTCACAGGTAAAGTTTCTTGTTTCTTTATCTGAAATCTGCCCTTGTTCCTTCAAGTCATGACTTGAGACATCATGTCTGTCACTGTGATTTACCTCTGATTTCTGCATTTGCTTCACATTGTTCTCATCTGTTGCTCTTACTTTACCTTCCTGAATATAGCATGCCAACGGGCATCCCTTACTTCCTGTTGCAAGCGGCATACAGGCAGTTCAGCTTTCACTCCCTCTGCCCTCTGTTACATGTGGGGTTTTTTTTGTTTTGTTTTTTTCTCCAAATGAGAATGGGGAATGAACCAGCTGATAAATGCTTTAAAATGTTACATGAAACACTCTGGGAGGTGACAGAGCATCCTTTGGCTTTTCATTTGTTATTTATATACTTGTATTGCACACTGCAATGAAGATCTCACATTTCTTTTGTGCCTGTATGAATGGGTGTGTGTGCACTTGAGTATGTATAATTAAAAGGAGTTATTAGTGTGTGATAGTGTGTCTATAGCCAGGTCATGCTTTTTGTGTGTGCGTGTGTCTGTGTGTGTATGTGTGTGTAGCCCTGCAGACTGCCTGCAACAGACCACAGAAGGCAGGACAACCTGTTCCCACAGTGTGTTTTTGCAGGCACTGTTCTTGCAATCCTGCAAATAATTCTTTGATATTTTTGTACCATTTTTTAGATTTTAAAATCCAAAATATATGTAGCTTTTCCCCCCGTGTGGTGTAGATCCACATAAACTAAGGCAACACATGACTGAATTTCATGGATTTGTAATGGCTAGGATTTTTTATTTTTTATTTTTTGCCCCAGTTTCAGATCATTTTAGCAGAACAGCATCGGACATTAGTCGCCAATCACACTGGGAAAAGATGGAGAAAAAATAAGCACTGGCACAAAAAGCGTAAATCCCTTTGTACACTCTTCTGAACATCTACTCGACACACATGTTACCTTGCACTTAAAATCAACAAATCAGTCTGGAGTTGAGCTTCTTTTGTTGCTTTTGATTTTTTGGTTTTGGTTGTCTCATACAGAAACCCTTCCAGGTGACCTCATTTGCCACCTCTATTCTCCGGTGCAGCATGTTTGTGTGCATTCTTTTGATTGTGTTTATCTCAGAATTACTCTATATTGCACTATAGCCAAGTGCCTTTTATTTTTATTTTACATTTTTCTTGTTTGTTTGTTTTAATTATGCTGCTATTTTACTCAGAATGTATATTATGTTTAGTACAGGGGTTCCTCACATTAATGCCATTATTAGACGTGTAATATACTGTTTTTGTTTAGTTGTTGGACTCGGCGTGATTCCAAGCAAAAAGAGAATCAAAAGAAATCTGAAGTGTGGTTTACATGAAGCAAACGTTTTAAAAACGAATTAACAGAAACGGTCATTTGAAGAAATAAATGCTTTTGATTTGATATGGAGCAGAACTGTTTAAAGCAGTGGATTAGTGGCTTTCAAGCCATGGGCACTCTGTATAATCTTAGTTAGTAGCTATTACTGGCCCGAGTGTGCTTAAGCAATAATGCGGTGCAGCCAAAAGCTTCTACCTGTGTAGTAATTGACCTTGGCACTAACTAAGCCGCATACAGCACCCATTAGTGCTGAGCACGGAACACACTGTTCAAACCTAAACACTCGCTGCTGTTTACTGGTTAGCAGAAATTAAGCCAAACTCCTATGCAAATATATGTTGGGGAGGAATATCATCCGTTGAGTTCTTTATCAGTTCACTCTTTACTTTGTTAGCACTTTTTTTTAATGCGCTATAAATCAGGTTCCTGTTAAGGCTCAGTGATCCCTGTGAAAATGTTTGCTGCTCAGAAACAGCACTGTTCCACAAATTCTCTGCTCTTAGGGACCACATTTCACTTCCATCCCTGGGACCCTGCCCATCATTCGCTTGAGAGCACTTTGCTAAATAGCAATCCTCCAATGAGATGCCAGCACCACATGGCAGGCCGGGATTGGCTGGAGGGCATGATTGATGTATTTTAGGAGAACCAATGGGTTGTAACTGAGGGCACCTGAGTCACCCTTGTCTGCTTCTTCGCTCTGTCATTCTCCCCTTGTCCTAAACAACCACACACACCCTCACACAGACGCAAATAGACACCCTCTTTCCATATTATAAACCTGGTGGTTTTCTGTGTGGAAACATGCCCCCGTCTTCTGCCCAGAAGTAAAACAGGTGGCAGAGAAGGGTACACACACACACACACACACACACACACACACACACACACACACACACACACACACACACTCGTCCTCTCTCACTTCTGATTAAACATACAGGCACAATGTTCCACTGAAAAATTATCACATAATATTTGCTTTCTACCTTTTTTTTTTATGTTGAAATGAATCAGACTAACTGTTGCAGTGGCATATGCGCAAACACATGCACACATGCACAAGCCTGCAGACATACAAGTACACATTCATACACAACTCCAGAGTGGCCTGGGGAGTCCTCGGGCTGTTTGTTCAACAGAAAATGTGCTGTCACAATCTCTGCTTCACACACTGAACCCCCATCAGCAGTCACTGGCAGTTCGCAAATACACACACACACAAACACACAGAATGGGTTTTTGAACATATTTTGTCATATGCACACTTTCCTAAAAGGTGTCTATTTATTACAAATGGCGGTTTATGAATTATGTGGGCTCATAAGTAATTGTTCGAGCCTTTAACGATGGCGTGTTGATTGTGCGAGCGCTGCGGGTTTGTCTAGGGTTAACCAGGGTGAGTGGAGCAGGATGAAGAGAGGGTTTCTCTCTCTCGCCTCGTCTCCCCTCCTTGCCTTTCCTCCTCTCTCCTGGGCCGAATTCCCCCCCCCCCCCCCCCCCCCCCTTTTTTTTCTTCTTTTTTTTTAGCCCGTGCAGCACGCCCGCCCGCTCAGCCACCTTGAAGGATTTGTTGTTGGCGACAGTGCTAAGCCCTAAAGTGTCGAGTTCCTGCTGGCTGCCTCAGAGCCGCCGTTCTCACCCAGACGTTTCATAACCTTAACTTATCACTACAAGTTTGATCTGCAAATGTACATGGGATTATGTCTGTGCCGTTCACCCACATTTAAGTGAGAGGAAGTGGGAGTGGGAAGGTGGGGGGATTGTGGCAGATGGAGCCGGAAAATCCATGTTGGGATTCTGTTTAAGATCAGTGTCATTGTGAAGGCAGGGTTGCTGATCATATGGTATCCTAAAATTAAATATAGAAAAATGATACGTGTCAATTCAGACATTGGATTATTAACTGTTTCACTGTGGTTATAAAATTAACACTTCATATACATTGCACTGTCTTATTTAGCCTTGTTTTTCCTTGTCAATTTCCAGTGATTTACTTACCTGTGTATGCCCACAAACTGTTCTTTCACAAACTGTTCCTTCATCAGTAAGTGTGTTTTTTTTAGATGACTTCTGTCACATAATGAAGTCTTACTAAGCATTTAGTGACATTTCTGCTTAACAGCAGGGCTGCAAGCAGAGCGGAGACACGTTTTATCTGTCATAATGCATAGCATCGTCTGGCCCCGTTCAGCTTCCTGACTATCGTCATTCTGAAACTTATACAATCCTCTCTTGCTTCTCCTCTCTCATTGCCTCTCGGCCTCAGTCCTTCCTAATTCTCAGCCTGCTTTTCTTTTTCTATCATCTTTGTGCAGCAGTTCACATGAAAATAAGCAGTTTATCTGGTTTTAGTCGTGCACGAATTGTATTACTTCTATATCAACAAGTAAAAGCGTTGTTTTTAGAACACATTCTTCTTCTTCTTCTTTTTTTTGGTTTCGTTTGAAGGCACTGAAACCCCGCTGTTATAATTAGCACAGTTAATTTGTGTGTTTCTCCGTAGGTAAGCAGGTTATCCACCCAGGGCAGGTCCAAGCTGTGCAAGAAGAGTTCTCCCCCAGCAAGGAGAGGGTCCAGTGGGCCAAAGAGCTCATTGCTGCTTTTGACCAACATCAGAAGGAGGGAAAGGTAATGTTAACATCCTTTGAGAAAAGTAAAACTGCATTTTTTTTCAGACTTTGAAAAGTCAGTGGAGTTTCTCTGTGATGGCAGTGTTTTGGTCTAAAATGTCTTAACATTTTTTCTCGTAGCTGATAAAATGTAAGTGTGAAGGTGATCTTATTAATTTGTTATAATTCATCAGCTCCATAGATGGGTGTGTCATTTGCCTTAAATGTCAATTTTTTTTTAACCCAAAATGTGACTCTGTATATTCTTTTTGGTTATCAGTTTGTTAGTATTGGCTCTTAATCGATTTTTTTAGCAATTGTATTCAAGCTGCAGCGACAATTGAATTCCATTTTTATTCTTTTATACAGTAATATTTTTTTGTGAATCATTCAGAAGATGCACTGACTGAAAACCTTTTTTATAAATGATGTAAGAGTATTTCAAGTGATCCCTCCCCCTTAAATGGTCGTGTCCAGGACAGTAAAATATCTGTGTCGACTGTCTGTTGACAGGTCCGAGGTCTTTCTCTGCTCTATCACTCAGACCGATCTTTTGTGATACACATTTTTTGTGTTACACACCTCTGTAGTTCCAGAGAATACGTACTGTACACCCCTGGGTGACTCTCAGAGACAACATAGGAGGGTGGAGGGGTGGGGGGAGCTGGGCCAATTAAGTGTACAATATTATTGTTCCTAATTTAGTGCATGGTTGGATCCTGTGTGCTGAGCTCTGTGGTCTATCTGCTGAGGTAATACACAATCTGCCTACACCTCTCTCACTGCCAGGGCTGCTCCTACTAAGCATCGCCCGAGGGATTCATATCTTACCCATCCCTCTGCTGTGTATGCATGTGTACGTGTCTTTCTGTGTGTGAGAGGGGAGTGCGTACGTAATGGTTTGAATGGTGAGCAGGATTTGTCCCTTTGTCTTACAATGTGACAGGTGCTTGCCTTTCATAATCTTTACCTCCAGCCACTGACAACAATTTTGACTAAAGGGTTTTTTTTCTGCAGATTTTTTGTTTTGACTAATATGTCTGCTGCTAACTGTCAGTTTAAATAACACTTGAGGGTTATATTGTACGGCAGACATTCCGAGCATTCGTCATGCAAATCAGGATCAAATGCGTTTTATTGGGCACGTCTGATCTTATGTTTCTCTCTGTGTTCTCCCTTGTGTTGCAAACCTGTTCAGGGTGCGTTCACCTTCCTCGGCAGCATGATAGACATGCCCTCGCTGAAGCAGGCTCAGAACATAATAACACTCTCTGCCGCGGTGCCAAGGAAATAACACAACTGGTGAGAAGAAATGGCAGGAACCACACGACTAATCTGGGACGTGGAGGTCAAAGGAAACTGGAAAGGCTGCTGATCTCGTGGCTAAAGTGACATTTCAAAAACTTTTCAGCCATCGTCTCATTGCTTCACAAAAATGCAGTGCGGAAACTGTGGATTTCATTTGTGATTTTTGGTTTTATTAAGGTTGATTTATGTAGCTTTTTTCCCTTTTAAAAACAAAACAAAACTGTTGTTAATTTTGCTGCTGAGGTCCAATTCACATTGTTTTCAGCAATACCAACTCTGCAACTATCATGTGTCGACAGTATTTGCCTCTTAAAACTCACTTACAAGGACTATTGCCCTTGCAGCTTTCTTGGCATGCTCTGCAGTGTGTGTGTGTGTCTGTGTGTGTGTGTCTGTGTGTGTGACCATGCCTCCTCTTTCTCCTAGGTCATGATAAATGCTCTCCCATCTCCACGGTCCAGGCAGCTGGGCAAAAGGGTAAACAAACACAACAAGCCACTGTTGTGGATCTATTCATTGGGCCCCAGACTTCAAGTCAGGCCTCAGCCCCCTGCGCAGGGTCTGACTCACAAACATCAAAGTCCTGCTTGCTTTTTAAAAAAAGAAAAGAAAAGAAAAACCCAGATGGAAGCAAATAAACTCACAATTTAGCTTTTTTTTTGGTATCATTCTCCTTAGTAATGGCATGCAGCTCTCTCTGTGACAGCTGTGAGCCTGTGGTTGATTGTGTGTTGATGGAGAAGGCGTGTGGCGTCAGGCTCACCATTAACTTCGACGAAAAAAGTACACAAGCTGGTAGCAGTAGTCTTTATATGAATCATTTATCTTGAGATTAAGGTGATCCGATATTAAATTGGCATCTAAGGAACTTTAATCTTATAAACAGCGAAACATAAAGATGAACTCGTTAGCGAGCGAGGCAGAGAAGTTTGTCTCATCACAAACAGAAGCATAAAGGGGCTTTGTGAAGTGCTTGTCCGTGTCTGACTTGCACAGACAGTGAAGTGGGTGTGATGTTAGAATGAGACAGATTAGTGGCCATGTTGCTCCAGCAGACCAGGACTGGGGCTTTGTCTCTCTCTGACTGTGGATAGGAGGATAATTGGGGGGGTGTTGAATGGTTAATAGTGCCATTGGTGACCATGGTAATGAAAGGCGCCATACCTCCTCTACCCCACCTCATCCACTTTCTGTCTCTCCCTCTCTCTCTCCATCTCTCTTTCTCTATCTCTATCTCTTACTGTATGATCTATTGTGTCTGGGGCAGGGTTGGTGTCTGTGCCAGGCCAGGCCCAGACAAAAAGATCGAAGCCACTCCTGGGTCCAGCCAAAGACCCTAACAGTAAGCTGTCTCTTTGGCATTTGGCCACATAATTTTTTTCCCCACCCCTTCAGCTTGTGTGTGTGTGTGTGTGTGTGTGTGTGTGTGTGTGTGTGTGTGTTTGTTTGTTTGTTTGTTTGTTGTCAGCCAAATTATACCCTGAATTTGGTGGAAAACACTGCTGCTGTTTGACTTCCACTAAATAAACCACCTCCTCAAAATATTACTTAGGTAGAGTTATTTTGCGAGGCTTTGTAGGTCATTCCATTCAGAACAGATCTCGGGCATCTTTATGCTCATCCTTGTGACAAAAACTGTAGTAATTAAAAGAGATGAGTTCTTTTACCTCTGGGTTGCATTATGAGCTTTGATTATGGTGTAACTTTGTTTCAAAATCACTCAGTGGAGACTTTCATCAAACTTTGAAGTACTTTACTTTAACTTTTTAAACTTTTAGGTGTTTTGTTATTGATGCATTTTTGATCTGAGTGAGAATTTTTTAAAAAGTTGCAGAAATAAAGATAAAGCAAATGAATAAAATGATTGACTGTCTAGACAGCGTCAGTCCCCACTTTATATAATGCTGAGTCTTAAATATTCCCTCCATCTGTATACTTTATCTTATGTATTCAGCAAACACACCTTGCTTTTAATGTGAAAGTATGCAGATGGATGAAATATTTAGTATACTTTAAATACATACATTGATTATTTTGATTAGTCAAGTTTTAGTTAGTTTTTTTGTAGCATTGCCGCCATTAATAAAATAACTGTTTAGAGCGCAGTAGAATGAGAGTCCAGCAATGACAGCGCGACCAGTCTGATGAGACAAGCTGGCTTTTCCAAGTTGCTCTGTGCCAACAGGTGTCCCCACAGACAGGAAGGCAGATTTCAGAGCAGAGGAAGCAGCACATGGCATCATGCAGCGACAAAGCAAAAAGGGCAGCTCGTCTGTGGCTGATCAGGAAATGATTTGGTCACTTTATGTTTTGAAAAAAAAAAAAAGAGCACAACACCCTCTGAAGGTTAATGAGCCACATATAATATCATGTTTACCTTCCGCCCAATGATCTTGTTATTATTGGGTATTTCTTAATCCCCCCGCCCTTTCCTGGTATCTTTGCACTTACTTAGACGACTTTTCAATTCCGTAACATTTGGAAATGGGGGGCAGGCAAAGTGAACGATGTAGGTGACATCTCTGTAGATTAGAGGAATGCATCCCTGTCTGCCTGTGTAATTCTACATGACATTTCTATTATGTGTGGAACTGATAAAATCTTCCCAGCTCGCTCGACTGTTGTATTTAAATACATCTCTCCGGTATTCCCAGAGAGATTAAATTACAATTAACACGATTATAACCTCACAAAATTGTGACGGGAATCAATTAGGCTGCAAGCAGTATTTCATAGCCCGGTAATGTGTTGGTCGAGATTGCTTTCATAAATAATGAGGGACAGCGCAGGCGGAGAAAATGCATGTATGCAAAACACTGTCAGAAGAAAATTAAAACGAAATGTTTTACATATTTTTCCATTAATCTAAATGGGACCCGTGTGGCAAAGATAGTTTTATTCTAATTCCCCAGCCCGGGGATGCCCAAATAATGACTTGATGTTTTAATAGACTTGTAATGACAATATATGACAAACTAATTGCAGCAGAAGATTATTCTAAAGCAATAAAATACCTCGTTATTGCGCTTGGCGCACAGTTTGAGAAGTGTAAAGCTATTAGCAAAAACGGCTTAAAAATAAGGTGTGCACAGCTGCTCAATATAGAAACATTTCGTTTACGATAATTAACTCTGTTTCAATATTTAGTAATATTGTTTTAAATAAATGAGGACATTTTCAAAGTGACTGCGATGGGCCGTGTTTCTACGAAACTGTGACGGCACTGTTACAGTCGCTTCTTAATTTTCATTATATCACTGCCCTCAGGCGCACAACCCCGCAAAAATGTTATCCCTTACCACGGACTGCTTATACAAAAAATAAATTATATATATATATTTTTAAAAGGGCTTTAAATAAAAAGAAATTACTTTCTTTTTAGGTATCATCATGGCCTTGCAGAAATACAATTTTCAGGTGTTTTTTTTCTTTTCTTTTTTAAGAGTAAAAATGTGGCACGTGTATTTGAACTGCAGGTTGTGTCAAGTCACACAGAAATGCTCTACCTTTACTTTGATTTAGGGTCTTTTTTCTTTTAATATCAGCTGCTGTATTCTGAATGGTCTGCCTGCTTGGCAGCGTCCACACAATCTTCACTAACTCGTTCTTGGCGGAACCTTTTAAATTTCTCCCACTGATGGCAGGGGCATGTCCACTCTTCGTCTGCTCCCCCCCCCCCCCCCCCCCCCCCCCCCCCATAAAACAAACAAAAACATTGAGTTTGGATGATATGAAATGAAATTCATCGCGGCCCTGTCTGTGCTGCGTGATTCATCTGGCACATGTGGACCATTACTAACTTCATTTGAGGAGACCTTTTGTCTGAGTGTCCCCATCACCGAGTGAAGTCCGAGAGGATGGGACGGCGTGGGAGGAAATCAGGAGAGATATCAAACCCCAAGTCTCCTCTCACTTTTAAATTGTGCCATAAATCTTTTCTTTTAAAAAATGCAGTGTGTCTAAAACTATTCCATAAATTATATAATTTTCATGACCTTTTTTTCTTCCCAATGCAAGCCGAATAATGACGACGCTTCATTCTCCTCACGGGTATAAATATTGTTCTAGTTTCTATCCACCTGCTAAAGACCCATCCTGACGATGATGGGCGGGATTTAACTGTATCTATTGAGCTGAAGCCCCCAAAGCCGCGCAGGCCTCTGAAGGCCCTCTTGGTTCTTTTGGATGTCCGGGGTGTGTCCGTTTAATGTCATCTGCATTTAGTGAAAGAAGATAGTGCAGTTTATTAACAGATGTCAGGCTGGTGAGATCTAACCTTTGGACGGGTTAGAGCTTGCTTTTGCCTTCAGAGCAAATTAGGAATGATGCCCTCAAAAGTTAAATTATGGTCAGATTTTATTATTTTTAAAGGTAAGCTTTTTTTTAAAAAGAAATCTAGGTGACTTTACCTTCCTCCAGGCTTTGTCTTGTTCGAACTTCCCCCTCGATTCACTTCTTTTTAACGGGCTCAGATCAAAGGGGCTGCCCGCCCCGACGGAGACCAGTAAAATCGGCCCGCTTTGTCTGCTGTTGCCAGGAGTAAGGACGGGTGTCCGGGAGGAGGAGAGGGAAGAGGGGTGGCATGGTAATGAGCCTCCTTATAGAGGCTCAAAAGTCTCAAAAAGTTATTTCCCCCTCCTCTCAAATGTCCATCTGTCGTCACATTTTAGTATCTCTATTTTTATTTCGTCTATTGACTTTACTGAATAATGAGTTTCAATAGCTCCTTATTTTGTAGTCGACTTCATTTCCGATGAATTACAAAAAGCAGTTTTAGAGCAAGCGTACAAACAGGAGGCTGTCGTGTGCTGTCAGAATGTATATATGTATTTCTTTATATCCCATCTGTGAGCTTAATGAGACATCACCTCCATATTTGACTATTTTACCTGAATAAACTATGAAACCGATTCTGCTTAGTTTTGAGGGGGAAAAAGCCACTCGGTTTTTGTTTGTTTTATTGCAATGTCCCTGAATGCATCAGCAAGATGGAAAGTTTACGGGATTGGGGCTGTATGTGTGTGTGTGTATGGTCTTTAAAGAGGAGGGCCAGACATCAAATATCACACCTGCCTCTAAGAGTCGGTATCATCTCCAAATGTGTGATGGATTATATATTTATGACTTGACAGCGATTAAAAAAAAGTTGAAAACAAACTTATTTATAGAAAGATTTACGGCTTCCTCACAACCTTGCAACTTTTTTTTAAAAAATCTTTTCTTTCTTTCTTTTTTCCTGGCAAAATATCTGCTGTGGTTGGGCACTGATGCGCACCCTGTGATCCTGCTCTCTACACGCCGTCCCTTTGTTCGGTTTACCTGAGCAATATCAATATCTGCTCATCCTCTATAAAAACGCCTTCACACTGGCTTCATTTGTCGAGTCACACATGACGGTTTGAAGCAGAACAGACAAACACAAACGCACAACAACAACAAAAATGACAGTCGGACCTGTTAAAATGGAGCATAACTGACGAATAAGAGGCTGTAACAACTTTATCCTTCCGAGATAAAAGTTTAAAGGCGCGTTAAAAGGGTTGTGTTTCTCTGCTGCGCTCACAATTTGCATGGGAGAACAATACAAGGGTTTTGCCTTGTTAAAAAAAAAATCACTGAACTGTTTTAAAAGCGTCATAAAAGCAAAACGCAACGA